GACCCCATTTGGGGTCGATCGACCATTTCACGGGGGTCGCCAAGCAAGGCTGTCCGCCATTTTTTTTGTCCGCCATTTTTTTTGTCCGCCATTTTTTCCCCTTTTCCGGCGGGTGCCTTACCTCCCTTGGGCTGGGCCAGCTGGTGGTCGGCCTGCTCCGTCTCTGCCGCTTGCCAGCTACGCCTCGGCCGGCGCAGGGAGCGGAACCACGCATGCGCGGTTCTCCCGGGCAGGGAAAGTCCTCGACTTACGACCGGTTGGGTAGTCCTCGACTTACGACCGGTTTAGTCCTCGACTTACGACCGGTTTAGTCCTCGACTTACGACCGGTTGGGGTCGCGGCATTAAAAAGGTTGAGAACCACTGAATTAGAAGATTATAAAATCAAAAGGCGGAGACTGCTGACTGGGAGAGGACATAGCAGCCTGGCAGCCCAGGATGAAATGACTGCCCAGGGCAGTGACCAGTGACCAAGCATTGCCGCCAATCATGGCTGGGGCTCCTACTAGAACAGGACTAAGTGTTGGCTACCATCTGCTCTGAGGGGCTTAAGAAAGGTTAGGTTGGAAAATAGTTTTGAACTGAAGCTGCTAAACGTGCCTGCAGAATGCATGTTCAAAAGGCCGGGAATAGGAGAACAGCTTCATCCAATCCTGTAGGCAGGAAAGGGTGAGTGGCTTGTACAGTACTCTTAATGGGCCAGGCATAAAGTGCAGATCTGCCCTGAGAATGTACCTGACAGAAAGTTATTTTTTGCTCATGGGGATGTGAGTATGAGCCTGATGTCTGGAATGCAGTCTGCATTCACAACACATACAGACAAACAGACAACTATAGTCACAATACAAAGATAGACAGAAAGTCTATCCGAAGTGTCCACCGATATAATAAAGTGGACTGTAGCCCATGAAAATTTATGCCATAATAAATGAAAACCAAACATATCAAGGAATTGTTTACTCCTGCATTAAAACCTTTGTAATTCAGGTGCTTTTGAAGACTTGGTGTGTGATGTACAGATGTACAGATGTTGATTTAATTAAGAATGAAAGTATTATCAGAAGGTGTTGTAGACGTATATGAAAGTAAAAATGCATCAAAATGCATATTATGCTTCAGTGAATGCTGATTATGGAAGAATCAGAGATGAGTGGAGGGAAAATCATGCAAAACAGAAGAAAAAAGTAAAATAAGTGAAAATAGAATAAAGAATTACAAAATAAATTATTCTTCCAAGAGAATGCAAGGATAGTAGACCCATGGAAGAGATGTCTATTTAGATTGTATGCTCCTAAGACATGGGAACCTAACTTTTCTTTTTGCAGTGAACTACATGAAGTGTATTGCAGTATAGAGACAGTAAGGTCTAAATAAATATGTTATGCAGTTTTATTTATCTGA